ATAAATATATGAAAAAATGATATGGGTACTCAAATGAAAGGTCTTGATGAGTGTAACATCGGGATGAGCTTATATCTTTAAAAATGTCAATAGTTCACAAGATACAAGAACATTTCTTACTTATATATCTAAAGATAAAGTATTTTTGAATGCAGCCTAAATACTTATTATAATAAATTGACTATCGGTGATAATGATATAAAACTTGATGAAAAGACACAAATTCAAATCAAGACCTTTGCAATGACACTAAATTTCTCTAAAAAAACCGATTTTATTATGACATTAGTTAAATTAATGCGTACTTTTAAATCGATTAATAATCATAGATCGAAATATTTTAGTCAAAGATAAGTTTCTCTTAAAAATTTACCCACAGTAGAAAATTGTTTGATCTTAATAAAAAAATTAGCAATATAATTTTGAAGTAAAAACCGGGAGTAGATTAGATTAGAATTAGGATGTAGTTTAAGGAACAAGATAAACTTAGCCCATGGTTGGTTACCGGCCAGGCAGTGTGCAAGAGACTGTGGTGCACCGCACCATCCTCGAGCCATCAGCCCCAGTGTCACACCCAGCACATGCCTTGGGCAGATGGCACCCCCTGTGCCTTCGGAATGTGGTGTCAACGTGGTAAATGCGTCTCCAAGCGGAACTTGATCCCGATCGACGGCCAATGGGGCGAATGGGGCCGCTACGGACCCTGTTCAAGAAGCTGCGGTGGCGGGATAAAGGCCAAGCGTCGCGAATGTAATAATCCGCCTCCTCAAAACAGCGGAAACTACTGCATCGGCGAGCATGTCAGGTACCACAGCTGCGGGACCAAAGAATGTCCTCCTGGATCTCCTGATTTTCGGTGAGTTTATCACGCAGTTTATTTTAAAAAAAGTACTCTGAAAAAAAAAATTAACTTGGATTAAGAAGAAAAATTTCTTAGTTTAAAAATTTTTCTACTCAAACCAAAAAGATGAAGTTCTTCAAAATTATATAATTGATTCAAGTAAATTTATTAAAATTTTCAGGGAAGAACAATGCGCCATGTGGAATAACCATCATAATGTTCAGAATCTATCACGTGACGTCAAATGGCACGCTAAATCTATAAAAAGTGAGTTTGGTAGATTTGATTCTTAGAAAAAGCGAAGAGTTGATAGTTAAAGTGTTTAAAGAGTTATACGCACTTAGAAGATTAAGAAAAGTAAAATTTTCAATCTTTTTTTTCTGAAGAGGCATTTTAATTGATTGATATGAAAATTGATTACATATTGTAGAGACTTTTAACTTTATTAATATGTTCTTTTTTTTTATACAAATGATGATTTATCTGAAGCGCGCAATAGTCCATCGGATCTGGCCCTTGCTTACCAAAACATTGGACCGGGTTCGAGCCCGGCGTACACTATTGAATATTTTCAATATTTAAATGTATTATTCTGCTCAGCCCAAAAAATAAAACAAGTTTAACTTCAAAAAGTTTACTCCCTACCGTAATCGCTTATGGACTTAGTAGTTTATGCGATTTTAAAATACAAATAAAAAGAAAAAAAAAACAACCGATTTATCTAGTTTTTATAGACGATCTCCGGCAGGTTCAAAAATTAAAAAATTGAAAAAAAAAATTCCCCTGTTATAAAATATTATCTATTGATCAATCGAAGGAATTATGAAAATTTAAGCCTTGAATTGATTATAAAAATAAAAAATATTTATCAAATAATATAAGGTAAAGTACCCAGTAGTTGAACAGATTTCAAAGTAAAACGTATTTGACTCTACTTTTAATATATAAATATGTAATTATTTGTTCAAATTAGTGATTTTCATGAAAATATAAACAATTTTGAATTGATTGAAGCGCAAAATAACGCAAATAATTGAATATTTATAATTTGACAACGTTTTTAAGATAGACTATGAAAGGAGTAGTAGTTGAACAATCAATTCCGA